CGCACACACACACGCAGCATAATATATTACCAAGTTTGGGTATATGGTCGCCTTTAAGGACAAGCGGGCTACCCCAGATTTCGGGTATCTCCTGAAATCTTGACCTTCACCAAAAGTGGGCACTACCCTACCTATAGGAAAAGTTTGATTTCATTGGTGTGAGTATTTGTTTGGTTATAGAGAAAACTCTTCTTGTTTTTTAAAGAAACTGAACAAAGGTCCAAAGACTTTACCTTTGATTTTCTCAAAACAGCATTTTTCGGGATAGCCCCCTTGTGCTTAAAAACGACTATATTTTATGCAAGCCATAACTCTGATTAAAAGTCATTAAGACAGTTAATTCATATACTATGTTGTGTAGTCTCCCCTGACGTGTGGTGCTGTTCTAAGGACTGTATTTGTTTAAATTACTTTTTTTTTTTTTTTAGCAAAAAAGATTTAGACACCTTAATTTTCTGACCTCTTAATTTTCTGACCCCTTGATTCAATCCCTCCTTTCAGTGTTTAGAGGGCGCCACTGTTATGTCCTACGTCTGCCCTTTCCCTCTGTTGTTTCTGTTTATCTCTCTTGCTTCTTCCCCCTTTCTGTGTTGTTTCTCTTTATCTGTCTCGCTCTTTCCCTTTTACTCTCTGTTTATCCGGTTGTTTCTTTTTATCTGTCTTGCTTCTTCTCTTTTACTCTTTTGTTTCTGTTTTTCTGGTTTTCTTCTTCTGTATTCCTCTCTTGTGTCTGCTTATCTTTCTTGTTTCTTCCCTTTTCTCTGTTATTTCTGTTGACCATTCTTGCTTCTTCGCTGCGTTGTATAACCGTTAGTATGTTAATGTGCTTCTCTTTACCCTAACAAGCAAACAAATAAACAAAAATGATGGGCGGTTGGCAGTTGCTCTGGTATGGTTTGCTCCTTCTTCTTTCCAATCAAACATCTAGTGTCCTTATCTCCTCTTCTTCATTTTCATGTTTGTTACTCTCTTATACCACCTCTAATCTTCTGGCGCTCATATGACCTTATGCAGTTACGAGCGCCGTAAAACTTCTACTAAAACTGAAACAAAAAACTAAACTTCAACAAACATCCCCCCCCCCCCC